CCACACGCATTCCATCGCATTCCTATATTGAATTGCTTTGGATTTGCTAGCTTGCTTGCGGGCTTGCAGGTTTGCAGGCTTGCTTTGGTTGCATCTCGTTTTGGATCTTGTTTGGGCCTGGCCCACATGAGGAGCATAAATTCGGAAGGATTGTGCAGAAAGGGAACCTGACAGCAAGGATCTTCTAATGAGAAAATATGGGAAATAACTCAGCGAGAGGTAAGGCGCGATACGAACGGCTTAGAGTGAAACCCTAAGGCCAGCTAAGGCAAATAGGATGGAACACGTTACTATGATAAAACCGTTGCCAATTAGATTTTGCAATGTAAGCCAGTAGTTATCAATTAGAAGGCCTGAAACTCGCGTACAATACGGATGGGTTGTATTGGGCAAATGCTTGCAGATTCTGAATGTATGATCGTGGTGCGGTACGATGGAATGGTCAAGCTGAGTCTTGATTCTCCCAGGTGGGTGCTGCAGCTTGATGCGGTTTGTGGAGGGCAGTTCCAGTTTTCTTTCGTCGCTTCGGACTGATTTTGCTGCGCAACTCCCTTTTCATTGAGCTTTTGGTCCAGCCTGATACTGTATAGATTCGGCGTGAGCCTTTGCGTTTTTTTTTTGCGAGCTCACATTTGAAATACAGGAACATCAAAGAGAACGTACATTATAGGCGCACATAATGCACATATACTCTAGCAAGAGAGGCTGAAGGCAATCAACTCTAGCATGTTGTGAGATATGCTCTGATGTGACTTCTGACATGCTGTTTGGCATCGCGCACACGCCCACACACACACAAACACAGTCCGGAAGCTTGGTATAGGGACAAGATCAGGTGGGGCACATATTGTCCGGGAGCTTGCTATAGCGCACATTGTTGGCGTATGTTGGCGTGTTTAATGTACATGCATACTGATCATATTGCATAATATATAATTATAATATAGAGCACGTATTTTGAACATCCTTCATATTACAATGTCTAAACATTGTTTACTGTTTTTGCCCTTGACAAAATCCGTATAGTGCATAAGCATCAAACGGTTGTAGCCCCAACTAAGATTGAAGCAAACACTTGCTGGCCAGATTTGACAAAAATCAAAGAAGGGGGACTGAATACTCCCATGATCTCCCATGAGAACTGACTGGATCTTGATCTCTGCTCTCAGCTGGGCCGGGCACTGAGCAACGCTACCACTCAGCAGGTGTCAAGTGGTGATTCAAAACCACAAGAAAAAAATGAAGGGACCTTTCGAACATTTCCTTTGATATCCTGGGACTCTTGCCAGCATGCTTTAAAACATTCGACTTGTTGGATGTTTTCAACTGGTTGGGCCCTTGGGCCAAACCATGACTACCCTGATCCCACTGCTCAGTAATCGAATCCCATCGCTCATTAGTCAACAGCCAAAGAGGTCTTTGTCCTCGGATTCAGCTTGGAACGGGCTGATTTTCAGGAATCAACTCCCACTTGCCATTAGCACCATCACATGCTTTCATATTCTTCCATAGGACCGCTAAACCACAATCAATGTCATGGTAATTTTCGTTTCCTCACAATCATGGTAATGGATGATAATGGTATGTAATGGTCATGATCATCGTCATCTGTTGCTATGATAACGATAGATAGTGGAAAATCATCCGAATATCTTCATTGTCAAAATATGTCACAAACAGCAAGATCAGCATGAGTATCAACTGCTATGTACCACATCATGGCTGCAAAGTTGGAATGCAGGCCACTTATGCTTCTCTCAAAGTTTGAATGTCAATTCCAAGAACTAGAACAGCAAGAAGCAAAGAACAACAATATAGGACAACCGCCCAGCACGTGCTTGCCAACCAACCGTGAACAAGCAAGTGGGCAATCCATTCTGCGAGATGAGGACCCTCTCTCTTCCTATTCCTTCTCTCTCTCAGACTCTCTCTCTCTCTATCTCGATTTCATTTGATCTGACCCAACTGGCAGTAGCATGATGTATCAGAATGTGCCAACATAGCAAATCTGCCGTCGGTCTCAGGCAGGCTGCGGTTCTTCTTTGCTTTCCTCCGTGTCCTTCGCCTCCAATTTGGGACATGGCCAAGCAATGCCGAGCATTTCAAATTACTCATTGATGGTGAGAGCAAATGTGCAGTGAGCAGCATACTCCAACATGCTGCAACTATCTACATGAACCATCATGAACCATCATTAACCATCATGAACCTGCACTATGAATTAATATCTCGTTTGAACCACATACTTGCACGGCCCGCCTTGGAGAAAACATGCGCGTGATCCTGCCACCGGAGCATGGAGCTCACTGCTCGAAGACTGCTCCATGATCTAAGCTAGACATAGCTAGACCTAATGAGATTGGTTTTCCGGACAGCTGTAGCAAGTTCAGCCACTTATTGTTTGCTTATAAAATCTTATAAATCTTTCCAGCTGCGTGGCGGCTGAAAAGACAAATCAGCCGCCTTTTTCAAACATGACATGGAACAAATGCCGCGGCACTGCAACTGTTTGTTTCTTGCAGCACTTCAGGCGCCACCAGTCCTTCCGGATGTCCAAAACGAAGCCCAATTGGCGCTGTCGCTGCGCATTGGTGTAGAGGCTGGCACGGAAGCATAAACTAGACACCACACAACGTATGTGACGCTTGTCGCAGGGATTCCAAAATGTTAGGCATGAAGGTTCCTTGAGGGGATCCATGACTGCAGCACCATCAGCATTGTCGGAGGCAAATGGAAGTAGATGGATTTTGCACCGTGCAGGATGCAGGACCCGTGGACAAAGTGGCATCTGTTGGGTGGAAAAAACTAGGGCCATCCGACTAATGAACAGAAAACATCATGGAGAATCGGGTGTATCATTGTCATTCACACGTTTGGGATCATCCGGGTTCCACCCATCTGCACCCATCATACTCAACTACCTGCCCCGAACTATAGTGCAGCTTATAAATCAAACATATTATATAAATCCCCTTCACTCAGTTTTTCTCTCTCATGTTCTCTCACCGGATATGCACAAAAACCGGAGCGTGCAATGCAAAACTGAAGTGTGTAATGCTCACCCGACCACCTGTCTTCTAATATTCACCAACATTCAACACCCAGAATATCCAAGAACAGCACCTGAAAATGGATAATTAATGATAAAACCATATCAAACCCATGAACATCCACGAGATTCCACGAGTATCCCAGCATAGCATTTTGTACACCAATAACCTGCAGCTGCCAAGCCACTCAAGGACTTGCTCTTTTGAGAGGCCACGGTCCATATCCACCTCTGTCAGGTGCCGACCTAGGCATAGCGGCTCTTGCGAGGGCTGCAGTGGCTTAGTGTCATCTATCTCTCACAATTTGGAGAACATCCATTCGGACAGCCACACACTCACACACACACACACTCTGTTTCGACATGAGAGGCAACCTCTGCTCTCGGGCTAGCAACGGCTTGCAAGGAAAGATCGTTGGACTGTCCATCAGGGAAAGGAGTGAAAGTCATGAACGGGTAGTACTAGCAATCGAATGCCAAAGCCCCAAGCCTCCATCCGGTGCAGCAGCGATGATCAGAGAGTTGAAGGACTCTTCCTGATGGCCAATGCAAATGGCAAGATGATCAACACGCGGAATGCAAAATGCAGCGCATGCCAAACATTGCATACCGCTTAACACCCTTAAGCAGACCTTGCCAGAGCAGTCGGCAACCACTTTTTCAGAAGATTTCATGCGCAAAAAATGTGTTTCAAACTCGGGCTGTACATCGATACGATAAACGTCAATAAACTTAATTGTGCATGGACGTAGGGCCCATCAGGGCAACGTGCAGGGAATAGCAGAATGCTTCCCGAAGAGCATTCCAGAGTCAACCTAAGCGTTGCTGCTATGCACATGTTGTATGGTTTTCAAAATGGTTCCTTCAAACAGTTTGGTATCGACAAACCTCCCATTTGATGGGTCTCAGGCAATCGAAACCACCTGTCACTGCTCACGTGAAGACAGGACCCAACAGGCCGCCCATCACGGAGGGAGTGAGATCCTCTTGCTGAAGGAACTCCAAGGGAAATTCGACCAAGTATCCTTGAACTTCCCTAAGGACTTCTTTCCTGGCATCATCGGGCGATATCGGGCAGCATCTGGCATCATGAAATGCTCACACCGCGCTTGGTATATCTTGGTATATCTTGGGGTCCCAAAGTGCCACTAGCTTCACAGGGCAATTGCTTGTGGTGGTTCGATACCTTTCCGAACAAAACTCTCTCTCATGCTATTCCTCAAGGAGCTGGTAGATTGCCTGAAGAACTCAAGTGTGGCTGAGCATGCTGAGCAATGAAGACTTACTCACATGCCAAGAAGATGCAAGAAGCATATTTCAGCCAGTCGTCTATTGGCTTAACGCTTGAGGAGATCAACCTTCCCAATCATCAAGTGGAAATGCGGCTTAGCTTGGAGGAGAAATATCAAAACTGGTCTCACTCTGTCAGAAGTTGGCTCTCTTCGTTGGGTTTCCGCCTGCTCTTTGCCAAAACTGAGCCCACATCACTAAGGTTTTTTATCAATGACTTATGAAACGCCATCCAACCTTATTCAGTGCTTATGACATGTATTTCACACACACACATATATATATACACATACATATATAAAAACATAAACCACTCTAAATATAAATATTATAAATCATATAAATCTATTTCTTAGGTGGGCACCTAGTTTGGGATGCTTAGGAGCAGTCAATGATACGCAATTGCTACATGGATCCCAGGTAGTCACCCCATCGAGTCTCCGCATGGAAAATCATTCATATTTAACAATGAGATTTCCAACTGGAAACACCATGTAAACTCATGATCTAAATAAGATCTATGCATATATTATGGGGACAACTGTCGTACAATAGAAACACCAACGTAAACTGACAACATACACATGTACATTTGTGACTTGACACAGATGTTGAAGGTGTTCACAACACAGAAGAGCATGCGATCGTGACATGTATATCCAAAATTGTGATACCCTCAGCTACTTGGGGGGCGGGGTGGGTTAGTGTAATGTAGACCCTAAACGTGGGGTCTAAAAGGTTGTTTGGCCAGGGGGAATGTAAAAATAATTTCGTTCATCTAGACCTTTGGGCTGGTCCAGTATTTAAGGTCTACTATGGTTTCCCACTGTCTCTACATATGCTCCTAAAAATCCAACTTTTCATGTGCACCGAACGCATTTCATTTTTGCATGTGCCACTGGTGGGCGTTTCGTAATCCCAAGCGACAAGACACTTCAGTTTGATCATACCCTCAAGATCAAACAAGATTTCAAAAAACCCAAGGCTTTTGACATCCCTCAACGGAGAGCAGAATAGAACCCCAACGTCTACGCATGGTGGGGTTCTAAAATCGTGTTCCTGCAAGCCATAAAATTATTGAAAAATGACATGTATTCTTCTGTTTTGTGTTGAACACATGCTGCGTTTCATTTGCATATTGCCTTTGTCCTCCCACACGCAGTGCGCGGTTCAGGTCATCGCAATGCTTTAGATTTTCTATTTTTTGCCGTTTTTCCTAGGCCGCGTCAGGCCCACCTTTTCCGGATAATATATGCAGAACTGCAGAACATTTTTTAAAGCAACGTCGGGACGGATGCAAAATTGGATTGCAACCTGTACGCTTCCCCACAAAGATTGCGTCGTTCAGTCATCTATTGAAGCCACCGTGCCCTCACCTTGTTTTGGCAAGCGGTGTGCAAGATCATCGCTTGTGAAAGGAAAAATCGACTGGACCATGACCAGTCTCAAAATTTACTGAGAGTTATCAATCTCTCCTTCTTCGTTGTTCTCCGAAAGTTCTTTATCAGATGTGTTGCTATCAAAAGAAAGGAGGTGGTGGGTAACAAAAAGGATGCAAAAAAATGTAGACTGTAGAAGATGTGTCAAAGCATGGCTAAGTTGGAATATGGCTGGTCACATATCAGCGCCTGTGAGTCTAGAATGGTTCCCTCCAAGCTTTAAAAACAGATTGAAACGCATTGACCTGGGAAAAATGATGATAGATCTCGTTTTTTTTTCAAACGCCTTGGCTGAACCAGAAGTGTTGGCATCTACAGAATGCAGATGGTGGATGAAAACAAATGTGCAAGGAAGGCCAAGTTGGGTTATGGTTGGCCAACAGTCAGCACCTGTGGGTCTGGAATGGTTCCCTCCAAGCTTTAAAAACAGATTGAAATGCATTGGCCTGGGGAATATGATGATAGACCCTGCATTTTTTCCAAATGCCTTGGTTGGACCAAAAGTGTTGGTATCTAAAGAAAGGAGATGGTGGATGAAAACACATGTGCAAAGGGATGTGGAAGTAGGAGAGGTGCCAAAAGAAGGCTAAGTTGGGCTATGGCTGGCCACATGTCAGCACCTGTAGGTCTGGAATGCTTGCCTCCAAGCTTTAGAAACAGCTTGAAACACTTTGACCCGGGGAAAATGATGATAGACCCTGCATGTTTTCCAAACGCTTTGGTTGGACCAAAAGTTTTGGTACCTACAGAATGGAGATGGAGATGTTAAATGAAAACAAACTTGCAAAGGGATGTAGAAGTAGAAGATGTGTCAAAGGAAGGTTAAGTTGGGTTATGGCTGGCCACATGTCAGCACCTCTGGGTCTGGAATGGTTCCCTCCAAGCTTAGAAAAACAATTGAACCGCATGGACCTGGGGAAAATGATGATAGACCCTGCATGTTTTCCAAACGCCTTGGTTGGACCAAAAGTTTTGGTACCTACAGAATGGAGATGATAAATGAAAACAAACTTGCAAAGGGATGTAGAAGTAGAAGATGTGTCAAAGGAAGGTTAAGTTGGGTTATGGCTGGCCACATGTCAGCACCTCTGGGTCTGGAATGGTTCCCTCCAAGCTTAGAAAAACATTGAACCGCATGGACCTGGGGAAAATGATGATAGACCCTGCATGGTTTCCAAACGCTTTGGTTGGACCAAAAGTTTTGGTACCTACAGAATGGAGATGATAAATGAAAACAAACTTGCAAAGGGATGTAGAAGTAGAAGAGGTGTCAAAGGAAGGTTAAGTTGGGTTATGGCTGGCCACGTGTCAGCACCTCTGGGTCTGGAATGGTTCCCTCCAAGCTTAGAAAAACAATCGAACCGCATTGACCTGGGGAAAATGATGATAGACCCTGCATTGTTTTTCCAAACGCCTTGGCTGGACCAAAAGTGTTGGTATCTAAAGACTGGAGGTGGTTGTTGGAAGCACGTCACTGCAGGTTGCTCATCACAACTTGGCCTGGCATTTGTTTCTTCCAAATCAAACTGGCATATGTGGGAGGTTGGAGGTAATGCCATATCATGTTGAAGTAAAGCTCATGATAATTCAGCTGAAGATGTTGCCGGAGATTAATTTTACATCTTTGTTATTGCACATTGCTGCAGGTTGGTCATTGTTTTGCCTTGTTTTCGGGTGATGTTCAAACCAAGCAACATCGAAATCACCTAGTTTTGAAGTTTTGAAAATGGAAATCTTGATCGACCAAAACCGGGGATGCTAATTCCACACATGTTTTGCACCTTTGTGCAAATACCTCATCACGACTTGTTTTCTTTTTCTGCGCTCCAAATCAATGACCTTTTCTTGTGGTCTGTTGAAATCAATTTATACCACAACAAGGCTCATATACTTTCAAGGTTCTAATTTGATAGCCTCTCAGGATTCTAAAATCATACCCTCTATGATTTTAGAACCCTCAACGGCATTTTTAGGCACCGCGATCTTGAGGGTATGTCTGATCTCCATTCTATCACATCCAACCGGGTCAGGACAAACGAAAAACAGGTGGTTCAAAACTGTTGCAATTTGTTTTCAAGAAAATAAATTCCTTGTAATAAAGAGAGATCAGTCCGACACTGAATTATCAGACTTCTCAGCCTGATGATGAATTGCGTAACATTTTCTGGGATGCAAAAGATGGGTGATGATAGATTTGAAAAAGATTGGTCGAACAAATAAACCTGTTCCAGAACCTCTCTTTCAGAATCCCTTTATTTTTGCTTCCAATCTGTGTTGCTAGGGATTTGGGGTGAACCAAAAAAAATATGGCTTCCTGACAGTAGGGCCCCAGAATGCTATGATTTTATATTTCATTTTTTGCTAGCTTCAAAACCTCCAAATTCCAAGGGTCTAGAGTGGTACCACTGGGACAGGTCTACAATGCCCTAATTATCATATCAGTCTAGACCTCTAGACCCTAGCCCCTCCAGGGGGGGGCCTTCTAGACCTTAAGTAGTTGAGGGTATAAATTGTGCATGTATGACAAACGGTTTCATAACGAAAAGCACAATGTGAAGGCATCGATTGCTGTGGGGCTTCCGGGGCTATTTTCCCCATCTGAATGAAACAATGTTGAAGCATCCAAGCGAATCAATGTTGCCACGGAAAGCATCACAGAGGTGGAAAACACAATGGAAATGATGATTCCATGAGTAATTACCCAAGTAATAGCAACAAATACAGGAATCTTGGTAATCTGATCCCCGAGTGCAATTGTTTTACATCATCATCTTACCGGATCTGCGAAAGAATCGCAAAAAAAAATATCCTGTGACTTCAGCGTCTGATATGCGTCTGATCTTTGGTCAAGTTGCGCATGATCTTCTGAAGGAATTTTGGTAAAGTCTGCATTCAGTGTGACCTGTCGCTGACACGCCGCCAGCTGCTGCCAGGTCTGAACCTTGTCCGAAGGCAGCGCCTTGGTGAAGCTAAGGAACCTCCATGGCATTCAACCGCGCATTTATCAACTTTGAACCGCACTTGGACATTTTGGACAAGGGAACCCCTGCGCATTTTTGATACATTTGATATCATTTGATGATATATGATGATATATTTTGATATATTTTGTGTATAATGTTAGGCAAGGTACCCCAAACAAATCTTCGTAGATCTCTGTGTTTCGGCGCGCCAAACGTCTCAGTTCCACGACCCAACCATCCTCGCAGGAAATTTGCACGTTGCGGTCAGGTGCCATAGACTTGTGCTATCATGGGATCATATGGGATCTCAGGTCAGAATCAGGCACCCGAAAACGCCGGGTCAGTTGCATGTGACAAACATTTGGTTAGCACGGCTGCCCATGACTATGACATACATGACATACAAAGAGGGTGTGCACGTGCCATCGCATCTATATACGCATGCTGGTAGGCGCGATGGAGACACACGTGTCACATCGTGTCACCAATTCCATGACAAACACACGATAACCAACGATAAATACATAGAAACTTACAAATCTTACAATAACAACAGCACATGACTGCAATGCGCACACATTCGTGATCATGCATATTTGATCATATTTGTATGCAAATCATGCGCGTTCAGCGTGGCAAATTGTGCGTGAATGTAGGAAACAGCTATGCGGCTATGCGTGTTTCCAAAAAAAACCTTCCCGGTTCTGGCAGCACACGCAGGAGTCTGCCTAGGCCTAAGGGAAAAGGGCAAAATTCCTTCCCCGTCCTTCTTGAGGTTGTCAAATCCCTCGTCCAACTTTTCCTTTTCAAGTCCCAAATGTTGTACGAATAGAGCCTTGCGCAAATTTGCAGCTGTACCTCCTCTGAAGCCACCAAAGCTACTGGCAGCTGTACTGCCCAGCACATCGTCTTGGATTACCAGGTTCACCTGTCGATTGAGTTTTGCTGTTTTTCAAGCGCTTAGCATGCTACAAAATACTACAAACTAGGATCTCAACATATTACAACATAGTACAACGAACCTGTGTGGGTAGCATGGTCGCAATTCCTGTCATTAAACATCATTAAACATGAAAATTTCCGTGGGGTTGGCTGCCATACTTCCGATGACAACCAAAGGAGCTATAAGGAGCTATAAGGAGCTATGATTCGAACAAACTTTTCCGCCTACTTTTTCGAACCAGTGGCCTCTGAGTCCCTCATGCCCAGCAAGGATCTGTCGTTGATGTTGGAGCTCCCCACAAGTGCTACTTCATCATCAACCACCATTGCCTTTGAATGGATGTAGATCTGCTCTGTTGCAGGACCCAAATCCGGCAAAAAGCCGTAGGTCCTGCTGATGATCAACACTTGGAGCGCTGTTGCTGAAGTTGTGGTTTAAAACACAGCCAATCCATGTGCACCAAACAAAAGGCCAACATAGGCCAACAATAAAATCCAAACATCCCAAAGGACAACCTGTACTTTAAGGAAACGCTTGTACACTTGTATTTTTCAAATCTCACAAACCTATCAACGAGCAACTGAACCTATAGACAAATAAGATCAAATAGATAAGTAGATGGATCTGAAAAAAAGTAAACCAACCATTGCAACAAAGGTGCACATATACATACACATCATACATACACACGCACACACACACACATATATAGATATATATATAGAACAAATATATAATTATACATATAATAAATAAGCACAATATAATATATATATAATATTATATAATTATATATTTATCACTCATATCACACGCAGGTATTTTCAGTACGTACATATTTTCAGTACGTACATCTTTTTCTGTAATTGCGTGAGGTTTTATTTTTGTGGTTGGGACGACAAGGAAGATCCTAAGGCCAAAAATGGAGATGTACTTGGTCTCATCGATATCCCTGGCACGCAGCTGCGACCGTAAACCTCTCAAGGTGCAGTACTGAGCGTGCATCACCCGAAAGACTGGCCTGGTGCCAAATGGCGGAAACATGGAAACTGGGACATTACGCTGGTCATAGCTAGTCTACTAGTGATCCCTTTGAAGATCGCCGAAAACAACAGCAGCAACGACTCCAAGATACTGAAAGCATGAATTTCCATTTGGAAACAAAACAAGTTGACAACTTGCAACAGCATCTGCTTGAGGGCAAATCATGGCAAATCCAAGAAGGATCACCAAAGACACCAAACAAATCAAACAATTCGCTTCGTACAAAGCTTCCTGAAACAAATGTCAGTTGGCAAGCCGGCATTTGCCTGGCACAAGGGCCCCTCCAAAGCAGGGAGCAATGGCAGCACAATGACCACGTGAAATCGTCCGTCACGCTGTTCATGCGCCTTGACGATTCGTCGGAAGAGCGCTTCCAAAACCCGGTTCCCGATTTGGCTATCGCCTGGTGGTGGAAGGTTTAGGAAGACCCACCGGGTTGGAGATGGTTGCATGTCAAATACCATCTGGACATTGACAACTCATGTGGAAAATAAATCAAACATAATAAAAATAACAAATCCACACCAATCCAGCATCATTCTGGACCTTCCCAGCCCTGCCTTCCAAGCCAGAGCAAAAGAATTGATTTTCAATGTAGATGAAATGCTTGGAGTCTTGGATCAGGTCGCAATACGCTTGGTGCGTGGAGGACTCCGTCTTGGTGCCTGCACTCCAGCGGCCCACAGAACGTACCACCTGTGCACGGGACTCCTGCAGGACCCAAGGCGGATTCTCATCTTTCGGTGCATGGATCTGCATGTCTTATGACTTATTACGACTGACTTCTGACACTTAGGATGCTTATGACGCTTGTGTTTGTATGATTTCGTACATGGTCTATCATGGTCTCCGTGTGTCACATCGGATCATCGGATAATGAGGCCTTGGTTACCCCATCCTGTCCTGCCAAGGTCCTTTCTCCGGGGGCCACTGGGGCCACTGCTTCTGGCAGCTTTCCCGTGGCAGCAGCAGCATCTGTTCGTTGCTGACGGCAACCTTTCGTCGCAGCATGGCCAGCGGGAAGTGGTCGTAAATTGAGTTGATGAACCTGGTCAAAGGCGGCCAAAGGCTGCACCATGGCGTGAACATCTTCCAACATCCGATCTATGTGGAGATCCTATTGAAAGACGGTGACATCATCCATCACATATTGGGTTTCCCCAGTGGATTGTTGTCTTGTCTTCTTGGCCGGTTGAATATTGCACATGACGCACCCTCTGCCGCTGGCCACTGGCAAATCCCCTTCAGACATACACTGTAAATTCAAGCCATCGCATTTGCCTATGAGATCCTATGAGGGCATAGGTGCAAATATGTTGAAGATTGGTAGAGTGAGGTAACATGAGAAAAGGAATCTCCACCATCAAATGTTGGAAGCTGAAGTGTGAGAATGAAAGCTTGTTGCTCTGGAGAAAAGATGGAAAAACTGTGAACAACTTCTATTCCATGAGCCTTGCCGGATAAAACGTGCCTGGCATGGTTCCATCGTTCGACGCAATGGCGAGCCACGTCGCGTGCGGGGCGACCCAGCAGCTCACAGGCAATGTCTTGCCACGGCAGCCGGGGCTGGTCCACTCGCTGCAGCAAATCTTTTTGCAAACGTCCCTCCTTCACATCTTTGATGCGCGGGTTGTAGTAATCTTGGCCCTGCCAGGTGGCCTTAGCATGTGATTGATTGTTGGATCTTGAGTCGGCATCGTGTAGCATCCATTGACATCTCTCTTCTCAGCACCAGCCTTGGACCTTGACTATTTATCATTTTTATATAGATAAATAAAAAAAATAAATAAATAAATATATATATATTATATATATATGCATGCAGTGGGCTTGCTGCAAAGGACAAAAGCCTTTTGTGCCCAGGAAAATTGCATGTTTGAACGCACAAATTACACAAGGAGAACAAGAAGTCGTGTCTGTCATGTCCATTCATGCTCTTTCTCTGACAAACGGATGTAGAACATGGTTCAAGCCAGCACTCAACACCACCTGCTTGACGACCGTCACCACCATCCAAATCTCAAGAGTGCTAGGACCACAGGCAAAAACCTTGACTTCCTCAATGATAGCTTATAGATCCTGATGAAACCATGGCAGTCACAGCTAGTCTTCATATAGTCTTCATAATGGCCAGGTCGCAGCTGTGGGGTCGGTGATGCAATGCTGCCAGTCGTCATAGCGACCGATGCACAAGTCCAGGCCGCCCACGATGGCCAGTTGTTGGTCAACTACCACCACCTTCCTGGGCAATCACCGTGGCTGGCTGGTTTTTTACACACCGCTTCACTGGCTCCGCTTTTGTAGGGGAAGCTGTCCCTGAAAGGATTACGTGCTACTTCAGCACATGCTGCACTCATTATACTCATTTCAATAAGGTCATTGCATTGGACAGGGTTCCATAGACGTGCTCTTTTACCGAGTGTTTGCTTGAGAATGGCAACCCCCATGAATATAATATACGAATCATCATCAACCTGAAACCGAAGAACTCAGGGCAAGTTTCTCATGATGAGTCCACAGCAAGTTGCTATTGAAGCGGCTGCGGTGTCTCATCACAAAGATGTTTGGATGCTTCAACTCTGCTTCTGCATACTCTGAGTCGTTGGGGACGAGGTTCATGGTCTCGTGATACCTGGAGCATGCTGGAGCATGCTGGGAGCCCACGGAGTCTTTGGATACGGGCCATGGGAAGTAAAAAAATGCAAAAAAAAACAGATCCAAAAAGTTGAATGCTGGCAAACCCAAATGCAGCAGCACATATACACGGACACCCCTGTCTGCTGCAAACTTCAGTAGAGTAGAGACTTTCGAATCGCTCACATCTGGCAGTGGCCGACCATCTCGTACTAATTCGATGTAAGGACTCAAGAAGAAACCTTGCTGATATGAAGCCTCTGAAGCAAAAATATAAAATGGAGTCAATCTTTCCACCCTGATTCACATCTATAAAGGAGAAACCAAATGCATCCGAGCAGTGTCCAAAAACGGAACCTCCAAAAACCTTACTTCGGGACAGAAACTCAGGATGAAGATTTCATGCCTTGCCAAGAGGATTGCCTCAGCCACTGCGCGGAAAATTGCATTGCCGTTGATCAGGTATCGAGTGAAGCATTGTCCTGGGCGTGGAGTATTGAACGGTGAGAAACCACTAGCAAGTGGAGAGCATCTGCCTCTTTTGCCGGTCCAGTTTCTAGCTCAAGTTTAACTTGTATAATCCAATCGGCTTAGATTCCTGATTTAAACATGTTCAAAGCATTTCAGGGTGATGTCTAATACTTGTATCAGATAATTATTCACACTCCTTCGGCAAAATTGACCTGCAAACCAAGAGGCGGAGCAAGTGCCGGTCCCCTTCTTTGGGTGCGGCCGGCATTCTCACCGGGGCAAAGGCACCATAGCGCTGCTGCCTGGTACGGGCCGAGAGCTGCGCCGTGAGGGTTATAGCATTGCACCAGCCTTGCGCGCTCATCTGTCTGCGTTGATAGCTCCTTAGGGCGCAAAGACCAACACCAATGCAACTAAAAGACAAATCATTGAAAAATCATGTCATAAGGTGTAGCAACCCTTTCAAAATGGGCATGCACAATCAGGCAACTGCAAAATGAAGCATGGAGATCATCCTAAAGTGTTCGTCTTCAGCACCCAAAACACACATGAAAGCAACATGTGTGGGCATTAACAACCAAAAACATACAAAAACATGCAATCCTGCAACATGCACGTGTTATCAACCAGTTGGTCATGTAATGTTCGAAATTACAGTAAACCATTCCAAGATGTTCCAAGAAATCCGAGGCTCTGATCGTCAAAGGAGAGCTCCAAAACCCAACCTGCTCCCTTCACCAGCACGTGGTCCTGGTGTTATTTTGGTTCGTTGGTCTGCTTGGGCTATTGACTGCGACCGGGCTCAGAAAATGAAAGTAGCCACATGGAATTGACTAGTTGTGTAACATATTATGATGCTCCGGCTTTGCTTCATGACTTGTTATTTTGAATCACATCTTATATAATTAATCCAATTCAAAAACATTCAAAATCATCCTGTTGCAACTGATTCGGACCGCGTGCTCCTCCTCATCCCGAAAAAGAGCGAAGTTAGTGTCAAAGAACAGCATATCCGTCGGATCTGAGTCGATCCTCTGGCGTCGCGAGACTAAACATCCTCTTTTCAAGAAGGGTTATTGAGTGCTTGTTGTACCTTGTTGTGCCAATAAGTCAAGACATATCAAGATTCTGCGTAAACAAGTGTTCCGGACATTTCTGGGCCAGAAAGCAAGTCACAGAGTCTTGCATGTCCTGCTATTTCTTGCTTGCTGATTTGCCTTGTATGACTCCCATGCATGTTGCTATCAGAGTTTCAAGGACGAGAATAGGGCGATACCATCTTTTCGCAAGACCAGCCAACGTTCTTGAAGACTTAGGTTTTGATGCCGGAGCTGCAAACGGAAGTCGCAGCGTATGCAGCCTCATGACATCTCATGACGCTTCTTCGCTGCTGATGTGCTGGTTGCATAATTCTTTAAACTTTGTATGGACCGAAGGGCACGCAGCAAAAAAGGTACTGGGAACCATGAGACATGAGACAATACAAACGCACAACCCTTTTGGCTTTGAAAAAGGCAATGCAAGCAATCCCAAACTACCAAAGACTTTGGGGTGCCTCAATCAGCATGATAAAAGCCCATACATATATTATAATTTTATATGATTTAATTTTATATGTATGCATGTATAAATATAATACATTCCGATTTACAATGGTGCACACGCTTTGGGCATCTTTTTTTGCGGTGCAATTTTACAGTACCAAGACTCAAATGGAACAATGCTGTCGGCGACGTTTTGTGAAGTACTCCTCTGCCGTCTCGTGGCGTCTGACGAAGCAGCGTCCCTCTTTATGCGTCTCCGATGAGTTGAAATATGTTGCCATACCCAAGGACAGAAAATTGCAGATGTCCAGGTTTCGGACGCAATCACTTCGAAGCAAAATCGCCAGCTGTTCCCGGACCTTTTCAGATTCTGCCTTATGTTCTAAGCTAAGGATGGCCTTTGCAGGCAGGAAGGAAACCTCTGTGAGACCTGAGCAGCAAAATAGCACCAACAAACTGGACTCCCGTTGGATGATGTTGGATGCTTAGCTCACCACAGCGGATGCTTAAGAATTCGATCCATCCACCTTCCTTACGATGGCCATGTGCTAAGATTTTGGATATTTTGGACACCACCCGCCTGCAGTCAGAAGAGTTCCTAGAGCCATTATCCCCATTGCCAGGAAAAGGGTCAGCAGCGTGAGCAGGTCGAAGGGAGCAAAAGTCTGTGCAATGGGGGTATCAACTTCGAACGTCTTTGCAAGATGTTGCAGCCCCCAATCCACACTTGGCCTCAGTTGTCATGGCATCCCCACAATGTGACACCAGTGCGCTGGGCACTGCTTTGTAGCTCGCTTGTGGGACACGATGACTAGGAAAAACGGCGAGGCAAGAGAACAATCTATGTTGTTGCTCTTGCAGCTTTGTTTTTCTTCCTTTTATATCGTTTATCTTTCTTGCTGCTTAAACCCTCGCGATGTGACCAACTTCTGTCAACTTCCACTTGATACGAGCACTTGGGTTGCCAAACTATTTGTGACCAGGCCCAGCCAATTCTTCATAGCCAATAACCCCGACCGATTCCAGTTGTTCACTAGTTGAACAGTGCAGCCGGCTGTTGCAGCAAGTCACCTCAAGAGAGTGGCCAATAGCCATGTGCCCCAGCAAAGGGAGGACCAAAACACCAAAGCCTTGACAGCACAAAGAGCAAACGAGGAGAAGGTCCAGAGTAAGTTGGACACTGTCCTCAGGGAAGCGCTGAACATGGGGGAGGAATCTGTGGGTCGATAGGCGCGGTCATTGGTGTGATCCTATGGGCGCCAAAAGCCCCCCACTCGCCAGTCTTATTCTTTGACGCTGAAGCTGAACCATCAATTTTAATCAATTTTTTCCATGATTTTCCATGATTTTCCGGTACCCTTGGGCGTCCTGGTTTCTGCATGCAGGATGCTCTGCCACTTTGCCTTGTCTGCCAAACACCATCGGGTCGCAGAAGCTGCCCGTGTTCGCACGACAATCCTCTAGCTGTGAGAAATGCAAAACCAAACACCATGAATCCAATATATTCAGTTCAGCCATGAGGAACCTAACAATTATTTGCAATTATTTATGCCCAAGCAAGGCACAACACAGAACAAAAGTGCGCATCATCTTGCATAGATTGTTTCCCACTTAGAAAAAGGCTCCGTAAGAGTTGGTACAGTGTATAGAAGAACGATGAAGCTGGAACGTCTGTGGTGCAGCTAGAAGGACATGCCCTGACTCCCAAGCAAATGTCCTCAAGAGTTCGTCTAGTGTAAACGGCTCTGTGCTCCAGGTGTGTAGCCCCAAGTCTTGTTGAAGCTGCAAATGGGCTCTGTATTGCCTCAGCAGAACGTGGGTTAAAAAAATGTGGGCCAAATTTCATCAGTCAAAGAATTCAGGCACCGAAGGTTTGCAGGTGTGCATGGTAAAGGAACACGACGGAAAATCTTCCAAACCACCATCATCTTAGTAGGTCTTGGATGTCTTAGTAATAGTTCGCAATCATGACTTTGGCATTAAATAACAAGGCTACATCACCGTCATCGTTGGCGTCGTCATCATCATCATGATCTCTCTCTCTCTCTCTCTCCATCGCCCTCTCATGATGATCATGAACCCGCATTATTCCAGTCATCCGACTCCTCTATTTCGTCTCTCTCTTTCTCTTTCTCTCTCTCTTTCCCTCTCCTCTCTGCGTGAAATGCAGAAACCTACTGGAGGATATTCGCCGTACGTCAAAGATTAAATGGACATCAGAACATCCCCAGGTCGACCATCAAACACATCAAAAACCATCAGCCGCCATTTGTTTCAGCTACTGTCGATGGCTGGAGCTCCCATCGCCACCCTCATCCATGATGGGCTCCAGAGCTACCAGTTCTGGTTTTCCGTGGCAACTGCCGTCTCCATCGGCTTGCAGCCTTGAGCTGGCCCCTTACATCCTCTTGAAACAATCTTGGGTGGGTTGCGATCCAAAAGGCGTAAAAATAGTAACTATAACTACATATATAAAAAGGCAATCTAATTATTATCCTACTGGTCAAACAGAATTGACCGACTCAAATGGCCAACAATTGCCAAGTACTCAGCGTCGCCCAGCAACAAATTCCTCCAGCCTTTGAACTCCTGACGCAAGCGCACCTCAGTTTTGCCGCCCCGACACCAAGCCAAACAAGCCTGATCTGCCAGGTATTAGCAACCAAACCATGCCAATTCCAACTCCAACTTAGTATCTCCAAAGATGCTTAACCCAAAGCCACCTCAATTTTTTTGCCACTAAACATCACGACAAAAAAACATCCCATATATCTATATATCTAATACCATCTATAAATACCATCTAAATACCATCAAATACCATCCCATTCAATCATATTCCAGCAGAGGCACTTTCTGCCGCTCCAATTGACTCAACAAGGTCTTCGTCTTGGAGACTCTGCTGCTGATGTTGGGCTCGGCGCGTCGGGGGCTGCGACCTCGTCGGCATCCCTCTGTGGTGGCGCTCCGTCGTCGCGCCTCACCAGCGGCCTCGCCCGAGAAACGGCGGCGCTCCGTCTCGACCATGGCATCCGAAGCTCCCCCCCGCTGAGGGTTCAAAAACGGCAGCGCAATATGCATGCAAATGTGGAAACAACGTGAATAGCATATTAATATGATTGTTCGCATATATATATATGCATATATGCATATATGCATACATATACATATACATATATATATACATATACATATACATATTACATATTACATATAACATATACATATACATATATGCACATATTTGTATATAGATATAATATGTTTATTCAAATCAATAATAATGTATTATATACTACATGACTATTCTATGAACATGACTATTCTACGAACATAGATATCAATATGATTTAATATGAATAGTGTACGAATGCAATGATGGGACCACATATCTTTCATTGAAGCATGATGCAGCACTGCATGGTGCTTGGAGCTTGTCTCTTTGAGGAGCAATCGAATTGAATCCAACCGCCTTTGATCTGAAAACGTGTATTGGGTTCTTGAGCGGGTAGATGCTCCATCATTCACTTCAATGGTTGAGGACAGGGCGGTCATCTCAGTTCCTTCAGTTGCCATCTGAACTTGGGAAGTCTCTTGGAAGTTCCAGTGACCATCCTGCAAAGAAAACTGCTGGTGCATGTCTGAGTCAAGCTGAAGCAGGAGACATCAGGAGACATTCAGCCACTGCTTTGGACCGTGAATCTTCTTGTGTTGTGGTTGGTGTGACACCCTCGTGGCCCTACAGGTGCCTGCGACTTTGCTGGATCTGATCAATGAGTGTTACGTTACATAGTCTTACTATGTCAAGGTTGGCCATTGAGGCATCAAGGGGACAAACAACACCTGGATGGCTTGGGTCCAAAGGGGTCCTAAGTCTCTCAGTAGATCCTGCATTGAGATAGAGGCTACTTGTCTCATCCATTGAACAGTCTTGTTCACTACATCGGGATGGTGAACAACCGGCCCTCACTAACAAGGACATGCGTGGACACCTTTGGCACCGAACCAATTGAATTGATATCAGCTGATGTCCTTGTCTTTGTCAAAGTGATGGAAGAGCTCCTGTCAGCCGTGGCAAAGCTGGGATTGAAGCTACTTAGCTACTTGCAAAGGAATATTTGGCAAGAATGGGCATTTGCAAAGTTTGCCACACTTAGACCTTCTCTTTGGATCTAACCGTTGTTCTCAGGTTTTGGTCCGTCCCAAAGCTTTGATGCGAAGGTGGCCTAGGACCAACAGTGCTTCGGTCTCCAATCATGACGCATCCTCTGCCAATTTCATGGTCTCGTTGGTTTTCGTCACGTTGGCCCACAAATCCTGACGTGGGACAGCAGCCATGAGATCGAAACAAATAAAAAGGAACGTTGCCATTTCTCCGCCATAATCTCCAATCAAGTAAAATAGATATGAAAAATACATGAAGATACATGCGCACCAACCAGTTTGATCCATTTTGTAATCCCCGCAATTCTCCATGTTAGTTTCACTCAGCGTAATATTTCCGTGCTTTTGGACTTGTCCCAGCAGCTGCTCCTGCGCGGTATTTCCTGCACCTATTTGCGTCAGCGGCGCCTCTTTTCACAAAGCGCTTTGGCATCAGTCAATCCTCTGAGAACTTGAACAAATGTTACAATAGCATACAGTTCAACAGCCATGTCAAAATAACCATATCAAAATACATTCGGGTGGAGTCTGACTGCAGGTATCTCGTCACACCCTTGAATCTCCAAAGTGTCTAATACACACTGGTGGATCTGCTGCAAAAGAGGGACCTTAGGCCACTTGCTTGCAACTGCCTCTCCTTTCACTGGATCTGGACAAGTGCGTAAATTTGATTGAATTTGTATCTTTCGAATCCGCAAGCACAAGTTGCTTACGATCCCACAAGGGGGAAGCCACTCGCAAACGCAACCTTTGTTGCATGGAGACTAGACTCCCTATGACTCCCTAGACATCTCATGTCACCATCCAGTCTCCCTCTGGATATGTTGCTTCTTCGTCCCAGCGCCTGCATCAGCTCGGGGTAGTTCTGATAGAGGGACCAAACCTGGTCCTCCGAGCCTCGCTGCGATGCCATGGGCCAAAGGCCAATGTGCCGGCAAGTGCAAGCGGCAGAAACAACACAAATTAAAGGACCGGATAACCCCACAAGTTACAAACAATGGTTGGAGCTGTACGGAGAAGGCAGGAAAGACAAAGGAGATGGGGGAGGATTGATTGTTGTAAAGAGTTGTATGGCTATGTGACATGTGTGAAAGAGTTGTGCGTGAGAGTTGAGGAAGGTGCGGTGCGTGTAAAAAAGTTGTGTGCGAAAGTACTGCATGTGGAAGGGATGTGTGTGAAGGAAAAAGTTTTGCGTTCAAGAAACATGAACGAGAAATATGTTTTGACAACAGGTCGTCGGTGCAAATGGCTGCAGACATGGCTCAAAAGGTCTCTAGAAAGCAAAAGGGAACAAGCCATGCTCGATCCTCGCTCATCACCAGGTTTCAAGTTTAAAAGTCGTTGCTCGCCAGAAACAACCGCGCCACCCGAGCCAGCCCAGTGCTGTAAGTGCCACCCCGGCCACGCAAAGTGAGCGTGGATGTCACCAAGTGCAACGCTTGCCGTGTGAAGAGTTGTGTGTGTGACAAAGCTGAAAGTTGTGTGCGAAGAGTTGTGTGTGACAAAGTTGTGTGAGAGAGTTGTGCGCAAAGTTGCGTGTGAAGAGTTGTGTGTGACAAAGTCGTGTGAAAAAAACTGTGTGAAAGAGTTGTGTGTGAAAGAGTTGTGTGTGAAAGAGTTGTGGGTGATGCGGAGGAGGCGGACGGACGGACGCAGGCGGGAGTGCACAACAGAAGCCAAGAACCCTACATAATGATGGGGGGAAAAAGACCGATCGAATAAATGGAGCAAACAATACACTGATTCTCCCTGCATCTGTCTCAAGCACTCCTATATTTATAATATTTATATCTGTATTATTCTGTATTATTCTATATTTAGACAAATTAAAATTCTAGATATTCTAGGGATTTCTAGGGTATATGATGGTATATGCACACATTTCCAGGTCGCCGCCACCGCTGGCACCTTGAAGACTTTGATCATGACCATCCTGCAGTGCTTTCAGCAGCTCCTCTGCCAAGGCTGTTGCGCTTCCAGCTTTGGACACAGCATCCTCCTGGAGGTGGAAACGGTAGCATCCCACTTTGAAAACAAGGGATTGAACAAGAAGTGCGTTTAGACATGTTTGGACATATTCAGATCCTGATTTCCAAAACTCAAAATTATATAATATGATATAATATGTATGTATAATATATTGTCCCATAGTTTGCAAATGCTTGCCGTTGAACAATCCTCTTGTCATATCCAACAGTTATATAAAGAGATGTGTAAAAAAATACAAACATCATTGTCCGGAACATTCCGGAACATTAGATGCACTTGGCATGCCTTGTGCGTCTCTTGTTCTGACCTGACTACCAAAATGAAAAACATCAATAACATGAATGTCCAGCAGCAGTTGTTCCCTTTCTCCAATCTCACATCCCATTTGATTACAGCACGCACAGCTAAACGATCTAACGCTTCTCATCTGTGGCCACATGAAAATAGCAAAACAATTGAAATCAATAAAAATAATGGATATCATTGGATAATATATAATTATTGTCATTCTATCGCAATCATGCAGTAATATATATATATATCGATTATCAGAAGCCTTTTCGATCCTTTTGGTATGTTCTTTAGATCATTTCCATGCCAACTAAGGCCTTGAAAGGGGAACGCTCACGATGAAGATTGGACAGGTCTTTCCGCACAGTTTATCAATTTATCAATCGCATGCTGAACCGCTAAACCCCATGTCGTCTCCGTCTTGTGAATTTGACCTTGCAGAATCCTCATTCAGTTCGACCATATTTAGAGACATGCTGCCACCCACTATCTCACCCTTCAGAACTTTGATAAACCACTTCTCAACGGCAGGTCTCCGAAATCTCGACTTTCCGCAGGTTTTGCATGCCGTCGAACCTCTGGCGAGTCTGGGGTCACCGGCTCTTGCTGAAATCAAAGGGTTTTGGAGTCTATGGGAAGGACACCGTAGGCTGACCGTAGGATGTTGAATCACAATCAATGTGGATGGACACACAGCGCATGTTCTATTGTTTTTGCAGGCATGTGCATGCTGCCTACTTATGCATGTATCAAAATGATTGGCGCATGTTTTAGCTATGAACATTCCGCAAGGGAAAATACCAATACAATCCACTTTTGCACGTACACGAAAAGTATATAAAGCAAACGTTCCCCGTATCTGAATGTAATGCCCCAGCATGCATGAAGTAGACCCCCACTCACAGACCAGCAGTTGGGATGTAACATATAAGCGATCAGGGATGAAACTACTGTAATATTACGAATAACGCGTTGACTCCTCATTGCCCTTAATTGACATGTGGTCATCATCACCCAACACCTGCCTAATATCACCCAACACCTGCCAAGAATATCCAACAATCACCATAGACTCACATAGCCTCACCATATCTTTGATGAAAACGCCTCCTGTCTGTATGCCACTTTGAATTGACAATGCTCAGGTCAAAACACTCACCCAAAATGCTGGGACGAAACTGCCAAAGAAAAAGGATTTCCAGGATCTTCCAGGTCAAATTCAAATCATCTCAAGTCATATCGAACCTTAGGACCTAGTAATCTTGCGTAATCTATGGTAATCTTGCAATACCTCTGGAAATGAAAGGCTGAGCTCCTCACGTTACTACCGCGCTGCCATCCAAGGCCTTGGCCTCTCCGGATGAGAAGCATCAAGGAACGCCCGCCAAGGAACATGATCGAATCATTTGAATCATCAAGTGAATCAAACTACCAAAGAACCCAAAGACATTCACAATCACTTTCACAATCATCAAATCACCCTACATCTTCGCTTACACTCTCACTTTCATGAGCTTCATGACTCACTTGCCTCGCCTGAAATTTGCTTTGCAGCAGCGACTGGCCGAGATCCTTCATCTTGTGCCCGGCAGCT